GATAGTCTTTGACCATAGGAGTGCTTATGACGCTTCAGGACACTAATGGCCCATTCAACACCAGGCAGGTTATTTGAAAACCGTTATGTAATCTTTCCCTGTCGATCTAAATGAGCCTTAGCGAACATTCGAAGGTCAAACAATGTAGGAGGAAACCCCCAATCACCACATGTAGCCGCAGCTCGTAAAATTGCTAATTCCTCTTGATGCGTGAAAACTGGTTGGCCACCAGGCGTTTTTCCGTGTAATCCTTTATATTATATATCCTGATCCTTTTATTATAAAGTGTTCCATACGGAATTTTATATTGAAGTGAAGCAGCATTAATAGACAATTCGTCGTTGGTGATATTTTCTCTATTGCTTCTTCCATTATCTCCTCTGTATAATTTTTGTAATTGCGGGTACCCGCTGTCTTTTATTGCGAACCATGAGGCAGCTAAAACAAAACAAGAAATAGAGGTTAAATTGATAACCTATACATTACTCCTATAAGTTTGGGAACAACCACCATTGGGGTAAAATTGATAACTATCAAAGTCGCCTCGTATACTCTATCAATGTAACCCCGGTAAACCAAAGTGTTCATGGAAAATAAAATGGCGGCCGTAAACAAAAAATGCAAACATGTTCTTAATCTTAAAGAAACGTACAATTAAAACAGTGAAACACTAAAAACCAAACAATAATACTTACGGTTGTGCCACTGAAGTTATTCACACAAATTTTTTAATGCTATTTTACACTAAAATTTAACAATTATTTTTATTTGCTCTGTAACAACAGCTAATAGTCGACGCTTCGGTAAAATATGGCTGACATGTCAGTCTGGCCAACATAACAAACAAAATTTTGGTTGCGTTCAGTATCACGCATCAAATCCGAAAAAAACTTACCAAGTTTAGCTATCATCAAAGTTACCCTAGTTCGCAAAGTAACCCCATTTTACGGTACTGCGATCATCAGTCCGCCTGCCAAACGGGGCGATTCAAATCTTTCCTACAATTAGAAGCCCCTGTCCAGCAGTTGACTTATTCTCTTATATTGCTAGTTTGTAGGACTCCCTTTTTTCCTAAAAGTCCATAAGGTAACACCCTCGTACCATATTTTGCAACCAAATAACGATACAACCACTACTGCATTACAGTTTAATAATAGCCAGTATTTTATCAGTTGTAGATTATTTAATCACGGTCTTCATGAGTGGAAATGCATCTTTGGCCTTCTTCATTTGAATTTAATTTCAGATGTCCATATCCTGCAGTAGCCACTGTAAACCAAGTAAGTTTCTTAAAAATGTGTTCAATGTTCCATGACTGATAACATTTTCCTATCATTCGTTAAGAATTCCAGACAAGACGTGAAATATATTCAAAGCGCTTTGCGAGGTCTAACATTGCTCGATTATGCATGCTTCAAGATTGCGTGTTGCACTATATGAAACTTTAATTCCGCATTACCTACTATAATGCACAATAAAACTTAAAGCTTGATTAAGTTACTTTATAGCATCGCAAATAACGTGGCTATGTACCAGTAATAAACTGTAAATCTGTCTATACATATAAATAAAATTGAAGTGTCTGTCTATAATTTTATTTTATTTTATTTTATTCAAAGTGGAACAGCTAATAACACTTTATATAATTACATATAGATAGTACAGTAACTTCATATACGCAATAATGCAGCCCACAGTGCTGTTCACAGATTACCTCTTGGGATAGATAATTAAGACGCTAGGAGACCTGCAGCTGTACAGAAGATATTATACAAATGTCAAAGTATGGTCAACAGTGATATTATAATGTGACTAAGATAACAAAATTATTATTTGAAAAGTGTCTTGTATAAAAGACCACGAAACTTTTCCTTTGAGCACGTAAAAATTTCCATATGCTCGAAGGTCTCATTATATGTGGCAACCATACGTCGAATCGGTGAACGAATACCTGTATTGGATCGACAGTTACTTACTGCGAAGAGTTTACCCGCATGCACCCGTCGTCTATGGACAGTTCTGGGAACTACATAACATAACAGATTGTTTAACTCAATACAGTCACATTTGCATCTTACTATATGAAACAATGTCATAGACTCCAATTGCTTATGTCTAGAGTGGAGGGTTAGAAGTTTGTATCTACTGAGTTACTGGTCATACGGTAAATAAGATATATGGCATCTATAATGTATTGCATGTAGAAACCGGCGTTGAGCATTTTCAATTTTGTGTATATATTTATTTTAATAAGGATTCCAAATGGGCACAGCATATTCAAGTTGAGAGCGAATTAGAGTTTTATATAAATAAAGATATGAAGAGGTCCGTTTGAAGTCGCGAGTTGATCTCATAATAAATCCATACAGTTTGTACGCTTTGTTTACAATTTGTTCAATATGTAAGTCTAAGCACAGCTTTGAATCAAACAGTGTACCGAGGTCTCGCATAGAATCCACTTTAGCTAATTGAACGTTACTCAGTGAGTACAAAAATGTAATAATATTCTTGTTTTTAGTAAAACTGAGATATTTACACTTCGGAATGCTTAACTGAAGCTTACTTTTGTAACAATAGTCTGTAAGTCTATCTAGGTCCTCTTGGAGAAGAATGCAGTCTTGTGTAGTATGGATAGATTTATAAACGTTAAGAGCATCTGCATATAATAAAAATTTTGAGTTGAGAAAACAGTTACTTATGTCATTAATAAACATAAATAACAAAGGCCCGAGAATAGATCTTCGAGGTACACTGGAGGTAAACATCGTAACGTTAGAGTGGTATTAGTATTATTACATTAATTACAACCCTTTGACAACGGTTAGTGATATAAGAAACCAACTATCGTAAAAAATTACCCTAAATTCCATTGTAAGCTATTCGATTTAGTAACATTTCGTGATCCACCTTATCGAAGACCTTTCGAAAATTTATATATACTGCATCGACCTGTATACAATCATCAATATTTTCAAATAAATAGCTGGAAAATAATAATAAATTGGTGGTTGTTGATCGACATTTAACGAAACCATGCTGTTGCTGTATAATTATATTGTGCAGTATGGGATATATTTCGTGATCCACCTTATCGAAAGCCTTTCGAAAATCTGTATATACTGCATCGACCTGTACACGATCATCAATATTTTCAAATAAATAGCTGGAAAATAATAATAGATTGGTGGTTGTTGATCGACATTTAACGAAACCATGCTATTGCTGTATAATTATATTGTGCAGTATGGGATATATTCGTGATCCACCTTATCGAAAGCCTTTCGAAAATCTGTATATACTGCATCGACCTGTACACGATCATCAATATTTTCAAATAAATAGCTGGAAAATAATAATAGATTGGTGGTTGTTGATCGACATTTAACGAAACCATGCTGTTGCTGTATAATGATATTGTGCAGTATAGGATATATTTCGTTATGCACAAGTCTCTCGAAAATCTTCGACAAAGTGGACAAAATTAATATCGGGCGATATTGATCTACACTACGTTTAGATCCGCTCTTATTCGCAGGTGTGATGTTAGCCTGTTTCCATACTGCAGGCATAACGCCTTCAGTAATGCATTTATTATAGATGATAGGGTTTACATATAACTGTAGCAATGTTTCTTAGAAAATAAGCAGAGAAGCCATCAGAGCCTGGCCCCTTAGATGGATCCAAGGATTTCAGCTCTCTTAATACCTTTTCTACTTCAAAATGAAGAATAGTAATAGTAGTGTCATGGGATGCTGAATCGGCAGGTGGTCTCCACTGCGATAGTATAGGTGAGGGCGGTTCGTAAACGGAAGAGAAGAATTCAGAAAACATGTTGCATATTTTCTGTGGATCACTTGAAACATAATCATTATATACAACCTTAGCTGGTATTCCAGGTTTGTCACGACTATTAGAGATATATACCCAGAAATCCTAATAATTTTGCGTTTGCTACCCTTGGCCGATCAAATAAATAAAAACATTTATTACACATATCCTGAAGTAAATTCAATACTGGGAAAACATCTTGTAGTCTGATATGTTGTTATATTTCTTTCATTTCATCCAAGCTTTACGTTTTTTTTTCTAAATGTGTTAATTAGAGATTTCGAAAACCAGACCGGAAAAACAGAGGTTCTGGAGCCAACAAATGGCGTGTATTGTTTGATAATTTCGTCAATGATTTCATAAAATATGCTAAGTGCTTCTTCAGATCCCAGTGGAGTAAGTATTTCGTCCCAGTAAGTGGACTCTATTTTGCGGTTGATGTGCGTGTAGTCGGATTTATAAAAATTGTACCCTTGATGCGTCCGCTTTTTCATAGAGAGCTATATCACAAACAAAGGGTGGATGATATGCGTCAACAGGAAGTAGGGGACTTAAAGCGGCCGATATCTTACACGAGTTGTTTGATATGCATAAATCAAGTATTTTATTTTTAGTATTCACTACGTAGTTCTATTGTGCGGCATCTAGAAATGAGATTAAATTACATAATAGGTTAAAGGTAACGGATGAGCCTACCCCACTGCCATTTAAGGCGCTGTGGGTCCTCGTATCCAAGTTACATCTGGGAGATTATAGTAACCCAATATATAGAAACAATTCAAATTAGGATCACACAGTACCTCTTGTAAAGTTTCAAAGTGAAGTTCGTATACGGTAGTAATATCTAAAGAACAGTATTAAATCGTGCTCAGGGGGATATTTGCTTGACATTAACATGAAAAGCCATTTGGAAAAATTTTGTCAGACTGTCCGTCCGGGCTAACATTCAGAATGGCTGAACTGTTTGTGATGAAACTCTCATGTATATGTATGTGATTGCTCTCACGAACAGATAGAGAGCAATGCCAGGAATACTTTCATTTAAAATAATCCGAAAATTGGCTTTTTTTTGACAGCTGTCAAATTGAACAGTTGTGTTGGTGTTTTCTCCTACTCTAAATTTCGATTAAAAATCAATATTCACTGTGCATTTACATTCAAACTTCGCAAATATGTCTACTACGAAATGTTATCAGTGTGTGAAAAGCGTAAATATGGAGGCTGCAGTGCAATGTGATGGGTGTAAACGACACTTGTGTTTTACTTGTAGTGGACTTACTAGCAGTGAAATCAAAGTAATGGGCCTAAAAACCAAACGTACAATGCTGTTCCTATGCAAACCATGTCGCGAGGGGCTGTTTCAAGTACCGATTTTAATAAAAGCTGTTGATGCATTGCGGGATGAAGTACAGCAGTTGCGATTGGAACTGGCATCGAAATCTGGCCTAACTGATGCCACTTCTGCTTCAAAAACCGTCACGTTTGATGTTATAGCGGAAATACGTGAGCGGGAGCGCCGAGCGTGCAATATTTTGATCGCGGGCACCAAGGAATCTGAGGCGGAAGATGTGCAAATACGCCAGAAACATGATGAAAATGTGGTGAACAATATTATTAGAAATCTAAACGACGAAATATCCCGAAGTGATGTGCTTAAAATTATAAGGCTAGGAAAAAAAGAAACAGGCAAGACCCGTTTGCTCAAAGTAGTGTTTAAGTCTCGCTGGGTAGCTGTCAAGGCACTTCAAAACAAACAAAAGTTGAGCAAACCGTTGCAAATCTACTGTGACTAAACACCAAAACAGAGAGAGGCCCTACAGGCTCTGCGTACCGAACTGCTGGCTAGGCAAGAGAAGGGTGAAACGGACATCATAATCAAATATCTCAAAGGAGAACCAAAAATTATAAAACAAAAAAAACTAATCACTAACAACCCGTACGCTACACTCACAATTTTATACGCTAACATCTGGTCTCTGAATACTAAGTTTGATTTACTGCTTCTTGAAATTCAAACAAAAAACCCTACATTTGTTTTACTTACGGAGACTTGGCTCAAAAGCATAGACAAGGGAGCCAGCATTTCGATTCCAGGTTACACACTATACAGATTAGACAGAAAAATAATTCCTGGAGGAAAATCAAGAGGTGGTGGTGTAGCAGTTTATGTACGGAAATTCATTAATAATGTACCAATAGTTGTAAAAAAAAAATAGTGCATACATGAGCGAATTGACAGAAGCATTATATCTTGATATTCAACTAAAATCACATCACTTTCTCTTAGTGGTTATATACAGAGCGGACAATGACAAGGAATGGAATATTAAGGACAAAAAACTATACGAAAATTTAAGTACTGCATCTGCCCACAACATCATGGTCATAGTTGGGGATTTTAATTACAGGGACATTGTTTGGTCTCTTTCTTGTAATCAAACCTTGCATAATTCAGCATAGCTCTTTCAAAATTCTACTTTGATTCAGTTCTATGTGAACTTGTCACTGAGCCAACCCGCTATCAATCCGGAAATATTCCCTCACTACTGGATTTGGTAATGACAAACGAGGAAGATCTTATCTCAGGCATTACCAACTCAGCTCCAATTGGTAAAAGTGATCACTGTGTAATTGAATTTCAAATTCAATACCTCATCTCAAGCCCTTCAGCGCAAGGATTATTTAGACGTGCTTTACATAAAATAAACTATGAGATTGTTAATGCAGAGCTCAAGAACAAGCTATGTAGTCATGACTGGAGTAAATCAGTTGATGAACAGTGGATGGCCCTGAAGGATGAAGTGGAAATTGTTTTAGACCGACATGCTCCTCTCAATATGTTTAAAAAAAGAAAAATCTAAATAAACCCTGGATAAATGCTTCCATTGTTGAATTGACAAAACAGAAAAAGATTTTATGGGACTCATATGTGGCAGACAAGAAATGCGATACAAAATATAAGGCATACAGAGACTGCAATAACAGGTGTGTTAGTGAAGCAAGAAGACTTAGAAGTCTTTACGAAGCCAAGATTGTTGAGAGTGGAAACAAACCCTTCTATGCCCACCTACGCAGTTGCATGGCTTCTAAAGTTGGTCTACCGCCTGTGGTACGTGATGAACTTGGCAATCTTGTGGTTGAAGGGTCTAAAATTGCCGAAGCATTTGCTTGTGAATTTGAGAAAACATACTCATTGGAACCTGACCTTAATAATATTTCCATACCTATACCAAGAGTTAAAAACTCCATAGATGACATCAAGTTCACATCACAGGATGTGCTTATGGTTCTCAAGTCCCTAAATGTAAACTCTGCTACTGGGCCTGATAATGTCCCTGGAGTATTTCTCCAATCATGCGCTGAAACCATCACACCTGTCTTGGTCAATATTTTGAATGAATCATATGCTTCAGGTGAGATACCAAAAGACTGGAGACATGCTATAGTAACACCTGTTTTTAAAAAAGGGTGATAAATTAGATCCAGCTAACTACAGGCCAATCAGCTTAACTAGTATTGTTTGCAAATGTATGGAGAAGATTATATGTAAAAAAGTAAAAAAATTCCTAGCAGATGAGAAAATTATTCCGGATAACCAGCATGGCTTTGTGGAACGGCGCTCGACTACAACTAACCTTCTTTCCTGCTACCACAGATGGACTGAGGAACTTGATAAACATAATCCTTTGGATATATTCTACCTGGACTTTGAACGGGCCTTTGAAAAGGTACCACACAGACGTCTTTTGGTTAAATTGGAACATCTGGGTATCCGAGGAAATCTTCTGAAATGGATCAAAAATTATCTGAGTGGAAGAACCTTTCAGGTAAGAGTTGGTAATGTATATTCGCAACCTAAAGACGTCTTAAGTGGAGTGCCACAAGGATCTGTACTCGCTCCTACCCTCTTTGGCATTTTTGTTGCTGATCTGAGTTCTGTAATACACTCAGAAGCCTGTTTCTTTGCTGATGATGTGAAATACTTCGGAAATCCTCTATTGAGCCAGGGAACCTTAAGAGAAGACTTAGAGCATATACAGGAGTGGACAAAAAATTGGGTTATAAGACTTAATCCTTCTAAGTGCACAGTTCTGCATCTAGGCCGAAACAATCCCAGAGAATTGTATAATATTGGAAATTCAACAGTACAGTCAGTCAACTCACACAAGGATTTAGGTGTCTTAATATCATCGGACCTCAAGTGGGCTGACCATATCCATAGTATTGTCAAAAAAAGCAAACAGCATTTTGTATGCAATCAGACGATCGTTCCAGCATCTGACTCCAGATACATTGCTTAAGGTTTATAAAACATACGTCCGACCGCTGGTAGAGTATGGATTTCAAATTTGGAACCCCTATTTTCTTAAGGATGTGGATTTGCTGGAGAGTGTACTGAGAAAAGCCACAAAAATTCCATTATGCCTTCGCAAAAAGCCATATGAAGAGAGATTAAAAATATTGAATCTAACAACGCTGAAATCTCGCCGTACCAGAGGAGACCTTATTGAAACCTACAAAATATTAACACATAAATATAATTGCAAAGAGCTGCCACATATTTTTAACATCAGCAGTATCCACCGACCTAGACATCCTAACTATATGAGATTGGCCCACACCCGCTCATACACTAATGTGGGACATCACACACTAAACAACAGAATCATAAACATATGGAACAAGTTGCCTCAAGACTTGGTAGATGCTCCCTCTGTGATTAGTTTTAAAAACAAATTGGACAAATGGTGTAAAGACAATCCAATTTAGTGTATTCCTAGTGTGAACTTGGACTAATATAAAACACCAACACAGATATAGGCATATCAGCTATAAGCTGCTCGCCTATTACCAGATAATAATAATAATGAAAATTAAAACAGTTTTTTTAAATCGCTAACTTGATAAATTATAGTAAAATACCGTTACTCCATATTAACAGATCGTACCTAGGCAAAGCTAGAAATCAACGGTAATATTTAATAAATATATCAGTAAGTTGAACCTAAAAAAATACTAAGTGGTACCTCCTCTCATCATCATCACTATTATTGCCCTTTACAAGTTCACTATTGATAATAGGCCTCCCTCAGGGAATGCCATAAAGCACGGTCCTGAGCCACCAGCATCCATCGACTTCCTGCATGTCTTACCAGGTCACCACTCCATCTAGTACGAAGTCGCCCTACACTTCGCCTACTGGTATGAGGCTGCCACTCGAAAACCTTTTTCCCCAATGGTTGTCGGTTCTTCGAGCTATATGGCCGGCCGATTGCCACTTCAGCTTACTAATCCGTTAGGCTATGTCCGTCACTCTGGTTTTACTGCGGATGTCCACATTTCTAAGTTTATCACGCAGAGAAACTACGAGTATAGCCCTCTCAATAGCTCGCTGAGCGACCTTTAGCGTCCTCATACGGCCAGCAGTGAAGTACCAGATCCGTAAGTCATCACTGGCAACACGTACTGGTTGAACAATCTAGTTTTCAGGTTTTGAGGTATTGCTGACAAGAAGTGTCATAATTAACCCCGAGCATAGCCCTCACCAAAGTTAGCTGAGCAACTTTGAGCTTCCTCATGCAGCCAGGAGCAAAGAAATTAGTCATCACTGGCAACACGTACTGATTATACAACCTCGTTTTCATGTTTTGAGGTATACCTGAAAAGAAAATGTATCATAATTTCCCGAACGCTGCCCAGCCGAGTTAAATCTGTCGATTGACCTCTCGGCCGAAGTTTGACTAACCTAGTTAGACTATTTGTCCCAGGTAAACATACTCGTCAACAACATCGAGCTTAGTGCTCCCAACAACATAGACAGACATAGGTGTGACATGGACGTTACACATGATCTTCGGTTTGTCCATGTTGATATTAAGACCTATCCGTTGGGAGGCACCATTGAAGTCTTTGATCATTGTGGTTAGGTCCTCCAGCGATTCTGCCATAAGTGCTATATCGTCGGTAAATCGAAGGTGAGTGACGTCCACGCCGTTGATGTTGATACCGTATCCTTTCCAGTCCAGTATCTTGGAAACGTCTTCCAATGCATCGGTGAGGAGTTTCGGCGACGTAACTTCACCTCGTCTTACACCTCTCTGCAGTGCGATGGGTTTCGTACTCCGGTTCTCTACTTGGAAAGCCATCGTTACACTATTGTGCAAACACTTCAGCTATTCAATATACCGACAGTCAACTTGGCACCACTTAAGGGACTGCTGCACCGCCCAAGTTTCGATGCAATCAAAGGCTTTCTCATAGTCCACATACACCATGCTAAATGACAGATTGTACTTTTCGGTCTTCTGTACAATTTTTCGAAGGGTCATATACCCTTCGAAAAATTGTACAAAAAAGGTCTATGGTGCTAAAGCCTTTTCGGAAAAAGGCTGCCATATTCGGTCTTCAGCTTCGACAGTTGGCTCTTTTTACCATACAGAACTCTGGCAAAGACTTTGGAGCCCTGGTTCCGCTCAATCGCTTCTTCAATATGAGCTGTTTTAAAGTTGCGTAAGTCCCTTCGCATGTATTCGCAGATCTGTCTGTTCAGGGTCCTGTATGCTGTCAGATCTGCTGAAGGATCCTTTACCGCCTAGAAATCTAAATACCCTAATACTTATTTCTATCACCAAGTAGTAGAGCGTTCACTGCTTTATTTTAGTCTGAAAGTTATTATTGATAGTTACAAAGGATATTTTATAAGAGGGAAATATAATTTAAAATAAAAATATTTTTGATTAACATATAAACAAAATCACTTCCTGGCATTGCTATCTATCTATTCGTGAAGTCTAATTACGATCAGTTCAGTAATTTTGAAGATTAGCCCATCAGACTGACAGACAGTCAATTATTTTGAAAACAGTTATTCATATCTAAATGGCACGCAAATGAACCCCTCAACTTAATAAAAGGAAATTATTTCGATATTATAGATACAAACTTGACTATTTAATAATAAAATTCCCACCGAATTTCGGCAACGGCGGCCTGCCTTAACGGACGCTAGCCATCGGCGTAGGACAGGATTATAGTGCCCAAGTGTATGCGCAAGCACAGGTGCACTCTCTATTCCCTCACTCTCATAATCTGATGGGATGGTAAACGGACACGACCGGAGGGAGATCAGGTGCAGGAGCAACTGTTTTACGTGCTTTTCGAGGCATGAGAGTGAGACACTCCCAAGTTCCTGACTCCGGGCAGCTACTGAGAATTTCTTGACAGAAAAACTCAATAATAGATTTTCTGGCCCTACCCGGGATTCGAACCCAGGACCTCATGATCAGCAGTCCCACTACTACAACCACTTGAAGAATGAGGCAGCCAGTCTTTTTATTTATATGTATTATACGGTAGCATAATGATGATACGAACCAACAAAAAATATCCATTTAATATATAGTAAAACTATAATTACGACAAATATCTGTTTTTAGTTATTCATAGCATGTGTTTAATGCTTTGAATAACTAAAAATCGGATATATAAACGAATCAATACAGTTTTTGGACAATATAAACAAAAGAGTTCAACAGTTTTCCTTTTATATTTAGTCAGGTTTTAAAATTATTTACTACAAGTACAACTTTCGTTTGAATACCTCGTTATCAACACTTGTATTCTTTGAGACTTTGGTTTTTAATCGATTGAGCATACCCATTCGCGCAGCTGCCACAACAGTAACAGCTAATTCATCTTGACTCTACTACGTAAAAATATATATTACTGTGTACTTTTGTAACTTGTGTTACCGTGGAGTGGCGGTGTGACAATTTATTAAGAATATCATCCCGTGGGTATCGTAAGAGGCGACGGAGGCAAGCAATCCAGGAGATCAGCAGGAGCGACTTTTTAATAACTACTAGAAAAAAAACTGCGGTTCTCTACCCTCCTGCCAAGCGTGGCAGCCCAAATATCTCCTTCTCTAACTCCAACCTGTAATAAAACTTGTTCGGCCCCAATACCATTACCACACTTCACTTAAACCCTTTTTCGTATTTTTATTGAATAGTTTCTTAAGGTATTTTCATTTAAAAAAATGTGACTGATGTTAACACTATATTTAATTTACAATAAATATCTGTAAAAATAATTAATAAGTTAAGGCCATGTTGGATAAAATATTATATTTTAGACACGATTTTAATGTACGACAATAATTTGATACTTCTTGAAATAGTATTTTCTTTAAAAAAAACCATAACATATACATACGTGAATAAATACTCAAATAAACTTATTCGAATAGGTTTTTAAAATACATTATATTAATCGAGATTTAAAAAAAAATATTGGTCAGGAAACAAAGTTGGCGTTCGAGTACAAGTTTTTTAAGCGATAACCAAACGAACGTTAAAGTTTATTCCCAAAAGACACGAAGGGTACGAAATGCATGTTGTTTAATTAGATTCCTAACGTTTCCTGATCAAAAGCAATAACATTTGAAATAATGTAATTTGTGTCCAACTAATG